AGGAGCCATTTCATCGTGTTTTCACAAACATGAAGCTATGATTAAATTTATCCTGAAAAAATATTTCCACTTTCTCCTCTGCCTCCATGATAGGTAACAAAAATAAAATATAGTGGAAATAAATATTAATAAAATAATAGGTATTTAATAATTTCATATTTTAAGTAAAGTGCCAAGCGTCTATGTTTTGCCATCTGAATTCTCACAAAAGCAATGAATAAGGTAATAATAGTCCATTTCACAAGTGCAAGAACCAACATTTAGATAGGCAATAATTTAGTCTACTCACTTAGTAAGTGGCAGAGCTATGATTAAAAATCATGTCAGGCTGGCAAGAATCTGATTTCCTCCAGTACAAGTCTTTGTTTTCTTGACCTTTTCCTCCAGCTACTAGTAGCAATAGCCATAGTTGCAGCATCAGTTTCCTCACTCAGGTGATTACTTAGTGACTGTTACACACACCAGGTTCTATCCTCGTTAGCGGTAAAACTGTAGAGCAATCTTGGAGTTTACACTCTTTTAGAAAAAGCAATGATTTAACTGGAAATTGCACCAGAGTGCCTCAAATGTTATGTTGGTGGCGTTATAGAGTGCCATATAACTGTTTTCTCTGTACATTCAGTAGCTCTACTCATCTTCTTTGGCATTATAAGACTGAAAAATAAATGCCTGTGTATGTGCCAATTGTCCTTTTAGGACTTTAAACTTCTGGTTTGGTTTTGTTTGTTTGTTTGTTTGTTTGGGGGGAGAACTGGAGATTGAACTGTGCTTGCGAGGCAGGCAATGGAACCACTGAACTACATCTCCAGCTCTGGACTTTAAACTTCTTAGTAGTAATCATCTTGTCTATTTCTGTGAACCAAGTACCTACCATTATTGAAGGCATTCAATTTTCTAATAAATGTTTTGAAATAACATTGATTATAGCAGGTACCTACATAAATAGTTTTTGAGTCCTTATTTTGTTACTATCAATGATTCATTATTTTTAAAGTAAAACTCTCAATTATGTGGTGAGACTAATCAGCCTCATTTATTGGAATTTTAAAAAGGCAATTCATTCATTCTCTCATTCAACAAAGATTTGTCCTCTTACCATATCTAAAAATGCTATATATAGGCAGAAATAAATTGGGTTTTCACTTCATATTTAGGATTTGGAGTCTAGTAGAAAATGTAAGGCAAATTTTGAACAAAATAGCTGACCACTCAGGAACTTGTCTTGTGTGTATGAGTGTGTGTGTGTGTGTGTGTGTGTTTGAGTGTGTGCATCCACCCTCATATTGAGTGACTCAGTTGGAAAGAATGAAAGAATGACTCACTTATGGTTTTTACACTTCCTTTCAATCCTTTCTAAAGACCACCAAATTTTCAGGTGAATGACCGCCACATGGAAGAAACCCTTGAGTTGAATAAATCTCCCAGTATAAGAAAAACAAAGTTCACAAGTTCTATGTGGGTAGTTGTTTGAGCCCACTGGACTTCAGAGGCTGTGATGTGAAAAGGCTTTAGAGGAAGATGGATGTATTGTGGAAAGGCCATTAGACCTGAGCAAGAGAATATCACTCAAGACCACTCTCCTAAAGAGACTAGGCTGTGGTAGGAAGGAATCTGGACTAAAACAGCAGTAGTATGTAGAGAACAGAACGATCTAACTGCATAGCAGGGGTACTGGTTACTAACCAGTGGGGGATGACAGGGTCAAACCAAGTGATGCCAGGACTCTCCCTGGAGAGGAAAGCTCAGAGCAGTAAAGACTTTGGGAACCTCTGACTTACTTAACCAGGTATAAATCAAGGTCAACAGAATACTGGGCTATAAAATCCTAAGCTTGTAAGTATCTGTCCATACTTTTGTATGAAAAAATTATGAGAAGAATAAGAACAAAATGAACTTTCCTCACTTGGTGAGTGCCCTTATGTTGCTGGAAATCTTTCCATTTCCTTTTTTTCTTTGCTCCAAGGGTGAGTACTAGTCATTTCTTTCTCAAGAAGGGAAGAATGAGCACCTATTTTCTGTACTTATTTTCCTACATTATTAGGTCAGCACACAGAAAGAATATGTTTCTAGATTTCCTGCAAATCTTGACCTCTTTTATGAGTCTAGAATAGCATTCTAATTGAATTTGATATATAGTGGTCTTTTTCACATCCTGAATGGTGAAGAAATTTGTGTATATTATAGTGAAAACATAAGAGGAGAAGTACTAAGAAACATTTTAAATGATTAAGTAAATTAATAAGGGAAATTAGGACAAGGAAGGAAATTACATTAGAAATTTTAAAGGATTTATGTAGTAATTTTCATTGGGGCTTTAAGGGTGAAGGAACTGCTCGGATAATTAGATGTTGACAGCAACTTCTAATTCCAGGGCTGAGAGACAGAATACCTGAAGGTGTTGTGATTTCGACCTAAAATGTTCCTCCAAAGTTTCATATGTTTGGGACATAACTGTATAATCGGCGAGTTGTACTTATCAGTGGATTTATCCATTGACGAGTTCAGTAGCTAAATATGCTATTAGTAGACACAGCCCAGTTGGAGGTGGGTCACTGGGAATGTGACTTGGAAGGAAATATTCGTGTCTGTCGTTTTTTTTTTTTTCCTCTCTGCTTTCTGGCTGCCAATGGGGTAAACAGCTGTCCTCCAACAGGCCCTTCTTCCATTCTTTTTCTGCCTTGAAGCCAGCCACATTTATACTGAGCACACTGGAAACTGTGACCCAAATAAACTTGTTCTCCTTTAAATTGTAGGTGTTGGGTACTTTGTCCAAGGGATGGGAAAGTAACCAATGCAGAATAAACTTCTATTCTCCAAAGCTGAGATCTAGACTTTCTCAAAACATGGTGGACCTGAATGGATGAGGTTTTTCTAGGGGGCCAGAGGCCATAACTGGAAAGCTGGAAACCACAACTGGGGTGCCAGGAGGCTTTTCTGAAAGCTGGCCACTAGAGATGATCATGTTTATGCTAGCAAAACTCTTCAGAAAGGCCCGCACCTCTGTCAACACATACCAACGACAGAAGTGCAGACTGCCAGCAGGGAGGCTGCTGCTCAGAAGGGTGCCCACCTTTGCCAGTTGAGCTGATGGAATAAGACATAGCAGTCGAGCCAGGAAGAGAAATGCCCATCTCTTTTGAGGCAAACCCCTTCCCTGAATCTTTTGCTGTGAGGGCATTGTGCCAACTGGCAAAGAGCAACATTTAGAGTCCCATTCCAGGGCAAAGAAGGGTGGCTTTGGAGCTAAGAGATGCAGATTGGTAACTGGCACAAATGCTATGTATGTTTACATGTCTCCAAATGATTAAAGAATTGACTGTTTTCCACTTATCTTCAGGTTATAGTTTATCAGAACAAACCCCTTTTCCAATTATCACATTAAATAAAGCACATTTCCATCTATAGCTCTTCTACTCCTTTGTTCAAAAGCATGCTTCTGTTTTTTTTTCTATAGAGCTTACTTACATAATTATATTTTATTGACTTAGGACAGGAGAGTGGCTACTGAACTTGCTTTAACTTTAGTAATTGGATCCTGTTTGCTGGATCACACCACATATATCCACCCCCAAACTTGAACCTGAGCTATACTCCATAATCCCCTATAATACTGAGCAAATGATACTCATAATTTTTAAAGTTATTTGGATCCAAATAAAGAGTAAGTACTAAAATCAGTCTTTGGAAAGGGAAAGACCTGAGTTTAATTTCAAGATCTTTTATTTAGAATTGTGTCTTACCGATTACGTTATTTAATTTTACTTAGGCACAATTTTCTAATCTCTGAAAAGAAGACTGTAAATTCTATTACTGAATGCTGCTAAGGTAAAATATGACTATCTAAAAAATATTTAGTCTAGCAAGCAGTAAGTCCTAAATAAGTGGTAGTTATCATTAGAAAGCATTTCAAATTTCACTAGTTGTTCAAATGAATGAAAACTTAATAGTTTCCAAGCTCTGCTCCTCTAAAACAGTATTTCAGAAGATGAAAGAGCAAATATATTCAAGAAAGGGATTCAGTTCTTGACAAACGACTGCTAAAACTCCAAAAAGGTAATAAAAACAAAGAATTTTTTAAAAATGAATAATCAGATCCGGTTTTCATTTCATTAGACTGTTATAGGCCAAATCTGTTTTATTGTCTCATTTGTGTGACAGATGGAGTGACAACTTATTGATCTGATAAATTGTTTTCAGTGATTTAATCATAGTGCAATCATCTTACTGTATTTCTGCTCCCCTAATTTGAAACAGATTCAGCCTTGTCCAGATGGCTTCCTGTATACACAATGCCAGTCAGCAGGCTGGGCTGTCCTTGTTAGACTGCCTGGCAATGCTGGAATCTTGGAGACAACAGCATGCTTATGTCACAAGCCACATCTGTCACGGCAGGATTTGTGTTTTTCCTCAGGTTAATAATAACTGATGGAGGCACCAAGTCGCTTTCCCTTAAAAGCACGGAGTCTGAATATCAGTTTAGGAAGAGGTGCTTCAAAGATCAAAACCAGGCCTGTGACAGTGACATGTAAGTTTTTGAACTGGGAATGGCAGTGTCAAATCTCTCCTAAGCAAGGAAATGGCCCCTGGCTAGCAGAAAGGGAATATAGCATGTTAGTAGCTCTAATGAGAGAGGCAAGTTTTGTAATGTAACTAGGCTAACTGGAAGTAGGTTTTATGCAGTGCTATGTAGATTTGTAGAAAAATGAAGAAAGCAGAGTCAAGATGTGACTTTACAGGAGACATTCAGCTTCAGAAATGGGAGCATAAATGCATGGCTTTCTCTCAGCTTAAACTTTGAATGGAGTATTTTTGCTTTGGGTAGGCTGTATACTCATAATTTCTAATTCAAGTAACTAGTTAAACAGGAGTTAACTGAAATTCATGCTTGGTAATTCAATAATGATGATCACATTAACTGTGTTTATTTAGCGACTGTAGAGGATTTAGTTGTATCTAATACAAGCACTTACATATACTAGACACATATATTAATCCAATTTATTGAATTTATTGAAACCACACTAGAACTTTTTAATGATTGCTTATCAGCAATATATTGACAAAACATTTACCTAGCACGTAGTATACTTTTGACACACAATCCCGTTTTATTCTCACAACACCAAGAAGTGTAATTATGTACTAGACTCAGAGAAGCTGAATAATTTACAAAGCTGTGCAGCTTGAGTGGGTGGTAGGAGTTATTTCAGGTCTATATCTGGCTTGTAATCTTTCTTTTAATTCCTGGCTATCTCTGAAATGCCAGGCCTTTGTTTTAGCCTATGATTAATAGGGCGCTTGTAGGAAACTCCCTTAACTCCTGTGCTGATTCGCTCCTTTGCTAGGATCATCATTATCATGTGTACCACAAGAAGTTGTTGTGGAGTTAAATGAGGTGAAATGTAAAACACATAAGTAGGTTTTGGTTGAATCAAGCCAAAGTGACTGTTTGTGTCAGAGGTTTCAGTCTACTAACGGACTGTAGTAGCCGAATTATGAACTTTCATGGAGACACAGTGTATAGTCCAAATTTTCATTATCTTTAAACTAATTTTGCCTATTTCTCTATTGTGTCTCTTTTTTATAGTTAAAACCTAGAAGGTACATGCATGGAAATACAATGGGTTATAATTTATAACCCAAAATTTGGTAGTTAAAAACAATTCTCATTTACACAAACTTTCCATACAACTATAAATCATTTGAGAGAATGATCTTCCAGTTAAGTTTCCTGACTCTTTTCTGTTTTCTGCTGTACAGCTAGGTCTCATAAAAGGAACAGTTGAAGATTAAAACTAATTGAATATGCTGTTAAAATGCAGTAATCCTCCATAACAAAATACATGGGAAATATAATATCTTCTAAAGAACATCAGTAATTCTTAATGAAAACAGTTTAAAATCAAACAGCTAAATGTAAATTCAGCACAGAGAATCAAGGCTTTATATCTGTTTGCTAGTTAGCCTAAAGTATAGACTTTTTTACTTTTTGTATCAGCGAATATTCTGCTAAGATTTGAGTGATGTGAGGTGCAGATAAACTAATAAGAAGCACACATAAGGAAGTTTTGAGCAGTCTCTATATCATAATTCACTTCCTCTGTAACAAAGAAAATTCAGAATGGGAAGTTTATTGTCATTTTAGATGTTCATCATCATTATACTTGTGGCAAAATCTATCTATCTGGTATAGCAAAAGTAGGGTGATACAATCTTTCTGATAATTTCATGCCTGTCACTTGGACATAGCTCACTAAAAACCTGATGAAAAGAACCACATTTTCTAAAAGAAGCAATATTATCTGTATTTTAGCATGTCATATATATAAAACACTGAAATTTGACTTAATAGTAGAATTAGTAAATTTTATTGCTTTCTGCCATAACAGTATCCACAAGCAAAAAAATTTCAATTGTCTTTTAGTAAATACTGGCAAACTATGTTGTTATATGTAAACCCATTCTTATTTTACTAAATAATGAACAATCAGTAATTATGGTCATAATTTTTTTGCTTTTAGATAGACAATGAAGTGGTATATATATATATATATTATACTTAAAGATTTAAAAAATGAAAAAAAAACAAATTCATGATGTGATACATATATAATAAAGACAGAAAAGGATAAAGATAAAATCAAACTGACATTATGTTTGCTACATGCCAGGAGGTCCTGTATGAAAAAAATATGGACCACAAATTATGATGTCTAGTTCCAAGGCAAGAGAGATAAATAATTGTTTATTTTTCATTCAAGAACACATAGTTAACCTGCTAAGATTTGCTAGGTGCTTCTGAAAATATTGTATTCTTGTAATGTAAGGTACAAAATTAACTGTTCTTGACTGAAAGCTCTATAAGTTATGCAAGAGAATCACACTTTTTCCTGACACTGAATTAGAATAAAGTCCTTTTGTGAATTCTTCTGAGTCTAATTTCAACAGCACTTTTTCCTCTTGTGGGATGACAAAATAAATGTAATGAGTCAATTAAGTAATTATTAGAATAACTTTGTGTAAAAAACACAGGAATTTAATAGAATAGATGGATCAATCTAAATGAGTCAGAGAAATCTGGGTCTAGTTAATATTTAAGATATTTTTGAAAATTGATAAGTTGCCTAATAGATATGCCTTATATTCTAAGCAAAGTGGAAAAGTAAAGGTACACATAATAAAATCAATGTTGGGCTGGGGATTTAGCTCAGTGGTTCCGCCGCCTTCCTCGCAAGCACAAGGACCCGGGTTTGATCCCTGGTACCAAAGTAAATAAATAAATAATAAAATCTTTAGGATGATAGGATGCAGGACTTTGGGAGGAAATTGGGTCTGATGGTGGGAGCTTCATGAATGGCATTAATAACATTATAAAAGGTACCAAGAAAGTGCTCTCTTGCTACTTCTGCTTCTAGGATTGTAAGAAAGAAATTTCTGCTTTTCATAAGCCACCTATTATATGGTTACTTTCTTGCAGTACTTATTATACCCTGAACTAAGATACTCTGAGTAGCTCTAAAAATGACACTTGTCCTCCCAGTTTTTTTATCATACATCACTTTTTATCTAAATTTTGGAAAAATTTGATGCTGATGTTAAGAAGTTATGTACAATATCTTCAGAATTTGCTCTAAGACACTGAAGGAATGGCAGGAACATCTATAAGGATCCTTGATATCAAGAATATGAGGAGGAGTAGTATATGGCAATAACTTCTATTTTACAGATGTTTAGTCTGAAGTACATTGGACATAACCAGTTGGAGATATTCAGTGGCTAGTTTGATCTGGGTACTTGCTTCCACAAAGAAAGAAAATTGGGTTTTAGAACTACTATAGTCATTTTCTCACAGGTGTAGCTACAAATACTAATTTAAAATGATAAGATTTTCCTAAACTAAAATAAAAACATATTTTCTCCCCTAAATTTGAAAAATCATCACAAAATTGTAGAAATTTATGAAGGAAATATTATAGATATCATCAGTTTGGTCCTGCTGATTTTTTAAAAGTAGAGCATAGTTATTACATATTATTATAAAATAGTTAAATATTAACATGGATTTTATATTCTCCGACTATTGCATTTTTGTGCATCATACAAATAAATTTTCCCGCACATGTCAATATGCTAGCAAAGTTTCTATAATATTGTACTTTGTGATCAAAAGGGTGATTTTTACCTTCTCATCCTAGTAGCATCCCTTAGGGTTTGTGAACTTGGCAATTAAAACCATAAATTTTTTTAATATCCATCAATTTGATAAATCTTAGATAGCTACATGAGTTCTGTAATGGAAATAACAAGTCTAATAAACATTATCTTAGTAACCCTTTCAGTCTATATTTATGCCTTGAAATCTAAAACTTTCATTAAGCTTTCTCAAAAGTTCAGATAAAGAGAACATAGTTTCAAGTGATACAGTGTTTTTTTTTTTTAATGTGATTCTTTACTTGGAAAGAGTTATGGGGTTTTAATTCTTTTCCTTTTACTCCATGACAGTAAATTGCAACAGCCCTTAGAGACAGAACTTTTCATTCTTATTCAGTTTAAATTCTTTTCTATTACGCCTTTAAAATTTCTCAGGCAATCTTAACAAGATTGTTATAAGATGTTAAACGGAATCAAAATTTCCCCAATTTTTTTTAATTGAGTTTATTGGTACATTTAGGGATACAGTACAGTTACATTCATTGTTGGGATCATGTACCTTTACATATCAAGTCTTGATTCTCATTTTTTTCCCCTTACCTCTGCCCTCCCTTCACCCCCTCCTCCCCTCCCCATCTACAAACACTTTATTTTCATCTTTTCATTCTCTCACATTTTTTTCTTTTCCCTTTTTGTTCTTCCCCTACGTATCACACCTTCCCTACACCTTTAGCTCCTTTCTTCAAATTTCTAAATGTCAGTAATCTTATTAGAATCTTATGCATTGTTGCAGAATATTCACACCAGGGAAACTATTTGGTATTTACACATGTGGGACTTATTTATTTCACTTAGGAGTATATCTTCAATATGTATCCATTTTCCTATGAATGAATCTATTCTCTCGCTCTTTATGGCTGAGTAATATTCCATTTTATAGAAAAACCACAACTTCTTTATCCAGTTTCCAACGGATGGGCAAATAGGTTGTTTCCAAGATTTAGCTATTACAAACTGTGCCGCTATAAACATGGGTGCACATACTTCTCTGTGATATGATTCTTTTAGTTCTCTTGGAAAGATACCCAACAGAGGGATGGCTGGGTCAAATGGAACCTCCAGTCCAAGCTCTTTGAGGTATCTCCATATTGATTTCCATAGTGGTTGCACTAGTCTGCACTCCCACCAACAATGGAGGAGGGTTCCTTTCTCCCCACAACCCCGCCAACATTTGTTATTGTGTGATTTCTTGATAGCAGCCATTCTTTGTGGGGTGAGGTGGAATCTCAGTGTTGTTTTCATCTGCATCTCTCGAATGACCAGTGATGTGGAACATTTTTTCATATATTTTCTTGCTGCTTTCACTTCTTTGTA